TCATACATTGCATTTGGCTCTTCATTTTAAAGTGGGGAGGGGAAGAAACCTATGTTTAAAGGTGTGTGTGAGTCAATATGAACTCTTTTAGCCCAAAGTAGAAGTTTGAAACACCAACATGGTTAAAGTTTAAAATCTGGCAACCGTGCTCAATTAATGCAACCACAAAGTAGGGAAGAGGGAAACGGCATTCCCCCATTCCTGCACAGGGTTTTTGTAATCTCACCTGCCTTCAAAAAATGGCAGGCCTAAACTCTTGTCCATGTTGTCTGTCTTGGGCCTCATCTTTTTTTAATCGTTTTTTCTCAGCCAGTGGCCAGCGCAGCCACTTTGGGCAGGGGTTCACAGGCTGAAGCATTTTAAGAACCAAGCTACAGACAGCGTGGGCAAAAGAAAAAAAAGTGGCCCACGGAAGTGCTGCCGAATGGAGTGGGCACTGATCGAAAGCATTGCAGAGCCCTTCCTCTGGGATAAGATGAACAAACTTCTTCAAGTCTGACAAGGTTCTTGGGGTAGACATGGTATCTTTTATTAGACCAACTAAATAGTTGGAAAAAAATGTTTTTGCAAGCTTTGGGGCACAAACACCCTTCTTTAGGAATAGGGTGAGTCGGCTGGTGAATTGTGCTCTCTCCTGGGTGCAGTAGAAGCCAAATGCGGGTCTGTGAAAATGGGGGTCTGTGAAAATGTTAGGGTTCTTCAAGTCTAACACACAAGTTTTGGCCCACCTTGGAGGAGGCATTTGAGCAAAGAATCTCACTTTATGGGCTTGTGCGCAGTTTGCTGGGTATACAGAGGGCTGATTTTCTTTTTACATTTAGGGTCCTGCCACACGTTCAAATGAAAGCTGGAGATAAACCAGCTAGAAAGTTGTTACACATTTGCAAGCACTAATGTTGCAGCTGGTTGGCTCTTTTTATAGTTGGAGAGTCATTTTTGTGGTGCGATAATGATTTGCATGCGTGGCTGGCCTGAATATATCGCGTGACTCGCTAGTTAAGTGCGCGATATATGTAATGTGCAGCAGGGATTAATGGCTGCGCCTTGGAGCTTATCGAACTGATAAGACCGGTCAAAGGAAGTGCTACCAGTCACAGAAAAAATTCATACCCATCCCCTACCCCCAAAGGCCAGCGTTGTGCCATTTGCCTGCTCTTAGAAGGTGACATGTGAGCAAGGCTCTTGCTGCTTGAAAGGTTTGGTGGGCCTCTGAGTCGGCACACCTCCAGGGACAGCACTGCCCCTCACTTGGGGCACAGCCCAAGGGTGCAGCCGCTGGGCTCAGCTGTAAAGCAGGACGAAGACTGATCTGATTTTAATAGGAACAGTGACGTGCGTGAGCAGTCCAGCTGGGGGTATCAGCAAGCACAGATTTGTGGGCAGGGAGTAAATAGCAATATTGAAAAACACATTCTCTTTGCCCATAAACTTTTCAATTTCGGAAAGGCCAAATTTAGTAAAATTATCTTCCAAGCGGAGTTTTTATCAGATGTGGCCCATAAAAGCTCCCGTTACAGGGTTTACAGCTGCCATTCACGGAAATCCTACTGTCATAAAGCACGGCGGCAGGATTTACAGCCTCCCTACCACTGCCAAGGATCTCGGGCACACGCAGAACCTGGTGAGTAAACCTTAGTTTCAATACATCCTCTTCTGAATCGACAGCATGAAATTGTGGAAGCGGAAATGGCAGCTGGACAAAGAAGAGTTGCTTGGGCTGGAGGAAAAGGGTACTTGCAAGTTCATTATGGAAGCCAGAGCTGTCCTTGGCAGATCCCATGCAGTGTGAAATAGGGACTCTCTGAAAAGAGGTATTAATTTTATACACCCTGTGGGGCCAGTCGTTAGCAACTGTGTCAATTCCACGTGGTAGCCATAGATGAGCCAGAACTAACGGAAGTGAGAGGGCAATCCCCAGTCCTGTGTAATGGGATCCCCACCCAACCCCGTTCTCCCCAAAAGTCACCACGTTCTCCAAGGAGGCTTGCAAAGCACAAAAGCCTGCTGGAAACAGCCATCAGCATTGCCAAGAAGCAGGACTGGAAAGAAGCATGTGGCTTTGCAAGGCTGTGGCATTAGGTTAGGGGTGAGGAAGGCATGAAGGGGGCTGAGCAGACTGCTAGGAAAGTGAGTGTCCTGTTAGCTGGTCTTGGTGAAGCTAATGGCAGGGGGACAAGTCTCAAGCAGGCAAGATTCCCGTCTAAATTCAGGGTCAGTTTTGAGTCCAGCACTAAAGAGGAGCAGGAGAGTATCTTGAACCCTCCTAATAACTTCAGTGATGAGGCTGCGGGCACAACGCACTGCTGACATAAATGCATACAAACCTTCACAATGATGCACCTTAAACTTGTGCATTTTCTTGTCTTACCTCGGTGCACTATGCTCTAGCCGACAGGAAAGAGGAGACACTGCTGGGTATTTACGGCATGGCCATCTTATTCTGCACCTCTTCAACTCCTGTTTTATTTATTGCGACCTATTCATCGGTGTGGCTCCCTGCACAGCTGCAAGAGAGTTGCATATGCAGCTCTGTTAATTAGGCAGAAGCAGGTCAGCACCAATACTTCCCATTCTGCCCACATGTATTGTTTCCCACCTTTGCTGCACACATTGAGATGCAATGATTAAAACCAAGTTTTGGTGCATTGTTGTTGATTCATTCCAAGGGCAGAAACGCCCGTATTTGCAGAAGCAATGATTGAGCTTCATCTAGTATCGAGGTGCATTGAGTCGCGTTACGCTAGGAATAGCTATGGTTTCCAGGTATATATTTAACAAGATGATTTACAGCAAACCTTACCTTCCCTTTTCCCTGCTCACCTTTTCAGCCAGGCTGGTATAAAAAAAAGGGGGGTTTAATGAACGGTTTATTATTCCTTGCCCATCACTGCTGTTCATTGTTTAAAATGTGCTGGCCTCATCAGGTCCAAACCAACACCCCATTGTGTGAGGTGCAAGAACCAAACCCCAAAACACTGGCCATCTCGGGTCATGGCACAATGTGGGGAAGGAGAAAGGGACGGGCAACAGAAGGAGAAGAGAGGAGACTGAGGGTGAAGTAAGCCAGTGCTGTGGTGTAAACAGACCTTATGATTCATTGCTGGCTGGCCAGGTTCTGGAGGCCTCATGAGAGACAGAAGTGGAGGCTCAGTAATGTTTAACGAAGTTGTAAAAATGAACCGTTCTCTATGGGATTTGCACAGACTCCATTCCTGTAGTAACAGAAACCCTCTGAGTTTTGGGGGTGGGGGTTTGGCCCCTGGGAGGTATAGAAACACAGACCACGAGGGTAGGAAGGGACCTCAGGAGTTCACATCTAGTCCAGCCCCTGCTCACAGCAGGACCAGCCCCAACTACATCATCCCAGCCAAAGCTTTGTCTAGCCAGGTCTCAAACACCTCCAAGGATGGAGGTAGTAAGGTACAATGTTTCCTCTCTAATCACCTCCTCTTCATCCTTCCCAAAATGCTCTGCCTACTTGGTGTTGGTCTTAATTAGGTGTCAAGCTTCTTGAGCAAGGCTGTCTGCCACGTACAGGACCAGCCAACAGAGAAATGAGTACGAGTTACCACCCGCCGCGTGCAGCAGATGCGCATGTTATGTGTGCTGTCTGGATGGACAGGAGATAGTAACATCCTACCAGTTGTTCAGGGAGCTGGGATCGTCTGCCTAGTCTTGATGGGGATCTCCAAAATGGAGCTGGAGTCTAGCCAATGCTCCGGAAATGGCCAGGTCACTAACCTGGCAATCTTTTGACGTGATAACGTCCGTATACATTTCCAATTATAACACAGAGAGAGTTAGAGTAGACGTATATAATCTGTTGTGCAGATGCAAAGACAGCAAGATAATGAAACTCCCAGCCTGGCTGCAGTTGTGCTGTGAATGGGAGCGGTCAGCAGGACCTTGACGGACACTGCGTGCTAATTGGGGCCAGGTGCTTTTAAGGGGTTAGTGTACGCCACAGTTCTCTAATTCCCATCTTCCTAATCCTCTTTACTGTGGCTTTCATTCTGCCTCTAATGTACTTTGCGTGTTGCTGCTTCTTCAGTGCTCAAGTACGGTCTCGGCTTTATTTGACATATGTTCAGCCTTGCATTCCTCCTTAGTCACCGACCTTTGTTGTTAGTATGATCATTACCGCACTCCAGAGAGTCGCATTTCACCCCGCGTCAATTGATGAAGTTCTGCAAAACCAGTTTCACTTTTTGCCTTTCTGCATTCAAAACTGATCCAAAAAGAAATTAGCATGACTGCATCCGCTCCCCACACATTTTCCTCTACTCCCCCTTTGAGGATCGAGATAAAATAAGCCTAAAATCTGAACGACAATCGTTTTTGTCCATGTCTAGACTGACTGACTGAATTTATTCTGTAGTTTGGTTTGCTTTCTTTTTGCTTGGGTATTGATTAATTGCATCTCCATATCTGCCACAGATAACGATTGAAGAAAAATAAATAGTGTGCATCGTTATTCAAAGTTATGCATTGCCGTATGCAAATCAGCGAAGGGCAAGGCGATTACATGTTTCGCGTGTTTTATAAAATGTAGCCACATAAACCATGTCTCTGCCTTTTCATCGCTCCATCGGCATCCCTACCTTGGCTTCTTACAACATTATGCAGTGATTTTACCTGCATTTAAGGGCCTCAAATAACTCTGGTTCCAGTCTTTCTTTGTGCATGCCTTGTTGTTCGCTAGGTCCTAAATTGGCTAGTACTAATTGGTAGCACTAAAAGCAGGGGAGTCTTCTAATTGTGCCTCCTCATTAGAGATGCTTCCTTATTTTCAGACTCACCAGCTTGCGTTGGTGTCAAAAGACAGGTGGAAAAGAAACTACAGGGTGCTGCTCTTGACTGTTCTCAATGAGTGATGATGATGATGATGTGCGTTAAGAGTTCACCAGTTAGCAAGCTGTGGCTTTAAGTGTGGAAGCTACTTGCACAGATGCATTTGATTGTGTTGGAAGTAAAACTAAGCTGTTGTTTATTCTTCACAGCTTTTTGCCATCTTTGCATTTGCAACATGCGGTGGGTATTCTGGAGGACTGCGCCTCAGTGTGGACTGTGCAAACAAGACAGAGAGTGACCTCAACATTGACATAGCCTTTGCCTATCCTTTCAGGTAACTCCTTTTGATTCTTCGTTCTTTTTTTGGGGATGCAACTTAGGGGATGGTCTGATTCAAAGCAGCGGAAAGACTGCCATGGATTAAAAGGGGCCTTGGTTAAGGCCCCTGTTTGGGATAATAATAGTGCATCTTGAAAAGCACTTCGGTAACTCGGGTCTGATGTCTACCACAAAGGTTTGGCTGGCCATGTCAGGTCGGGCTGCGCCAGTGCAGCACAGCTAGCAAAACTGCCAGTTTGGGCATAGCCCTGCTGATTGAAGAGGGCTTCTGAGGGCCATTCGGGAAGATAATGAAACTGCACCAGCAAAAAACCCACCCCTCTCCTTCCAATATAAACCCTGTCTGGACTGGGAGGCTCTGCTGACAGCAAGAGCATCAATAGTTCCACAATATAGATGAGCCCTTTGAAGACAACCTGGTGTGTTCAGGAGAGACCTACGAGCATAAGTCTTGTTGCCGATAGATGGGACACAGACTCAAAAGAGCAATATATTCAAAGACAGGCAGGTTAAGGTACAGAGACCTGACCTGTCTGTTGAGATTTCCAAAGGCACCTAAAATTGCCAGACAAGGTTGTCTGGGTGAATGTGGTATCTCTTATTAAACCAAATAAATAGTTGGAAAAAATGTTCTTTGCAAGCTTTCAGGCACCTAAAAAAGGGTATTCATGTCCAAAAACTTGCAAAGAATTTTTCCAGCTATTTAGTTGGTCTAATAAGAGAGATCACATTAACACAGATAACCGTGTCTGCCTGTGTCCTTAGACCAATACGGCTACAACCAACAGTCCTAAGATTGCCAAGCATCTGACTCCCATTATCATAGCAATAGATCTGTAATCAGGCAAGGAGATTGCAAGGTAATGCAGCCATATAAAAGCGGTATTTTGAGCTGAGGCAGGAAAATATGACTATCAGGTAGCAAGGAGACCTCATCTGTGCACACTCAGGAACATTGCATTCAAAGTAAGAAAAGCCCACGGCACAATCAGGGCAATGGAAGACCCTTATGCAAGAAGACTAGGAGACTTGTGCTGCTTTAATCTAACACAGCAAAGGACAGGAGGGGACACGATTGCTGTCTATAACACAGCAATGGAGTAAGCACCAGGGAAGGAAAAAATGATTTAAGCTACTGGAGAGTGTTGGCACAAGAATAAAATGGGCTCTGAATCAATCAAGCTGAAAGGATGGAAATTAGAAAAGACTTTCTAACCCCAAAAGGACTGAGGTTCTCAGCATCCTTCCAGTAGAGGAAAAGAGAGACCTGGATCTGTTTCCAATAGGCATTTTATGCCATGGTGGCCTGTGGTTGCTAGGTGCCAGGCTCAATAAGCCAAGAGGCCCTTTGCAATATTAGTATTAGTGAAGCAGTGCTGAAAATCTCATTCGGCTGATTTGCATTGTCAGGCACCTTTATATGTGTCTGGCCCTTAATCACTTTTTAAATTGGGGCTTAGGCTCCTAAGTTGCCTGGCTCTCTTAAAAAACAGAACAGAAGAGGTGGGGTGGGGTGGAAAAACCATTGAAGCTGAAATTTCCCTTGCTGATAATGATTCCACTTCTATAAAACCTAAAGGACGGAGAATGTCCCTATCATTATTTTTACAATATAAATTGACTCTTCTATATTGCATTGCTATACGAGTGCGTGATAAAAGAACAAAGCATGCGTATTGCAATCTCAAACCAAGTATACCGGGACCCTGATACAACTGCAAATTATATACTGTTTTGCTTATGACTTCATTATGCATAAAGTACTACTAATGATGTTCACCACGACAGCCCTACTTGGCATATAGCATTTTTGAAACAATGGGAACTGCTGTCAGTCCTTGATTGCAGATATTTTCAGTTTGCATATATTATTCCACAGTCATATTTTGGTTTATTACAAATGTTTATTGTTTTATTAGTGTTCTGCACCCCTTTCTTCTCTCTTTAGCATTCATGAGCTTGGTTCTAAAAATTGAGTTATATGTATTTGTAACAAGATTCACTTCCAAATAGGTCATTCCACCAACATTCATTACAGTGCCCTATATTAAAGAACTTTTCATTTACATGGTTATAAAATATTATTCTACAGAAAAAGTTAATAAAACCGAGCTAAATAGTCAGAATGGGTCCGTTGTCTCTATAAAAAGGACGTATAGCATGGCTTGTGGAAGAAAATGGCCAGATCTACTATGCGTTCAATGTTGAAAAGAGCAATTTATTTGCAAATACCTTCTGCATATTTGTGTCTTTCTAACTAATTTGAGGTGCAACTCGAAAATAGGATCCCCACAGCAGTGCAGAGTTAATCCAGTGGAATTATGGAAATGATAGATTTCCATGTAGAGTTCCCCGTTAGAAACAAAATGTCATTTGACAAGTTAGTATTTGGGGGCTTTTGAAGATAATCACTGTGTGGTACACATCAGGTGCCAGAAAAATATATACACAATACACACAATTGTATCCACCGAGCTTTGGACATCTGGCCCTTAGTTTCCATTGCAAATCAGTTGGTTTTAATTACATTTTCCTTAAAGGTCCTTCCTTTGACTGCTGTTCACAAACAGTCCCTTTTTCTTCTCCTTCACCGTCATCTTAAATGATGGGTTTGCTGCATTTTTTACAGCTTGACAAGATGGTGGATGCAACTCTTGTAATGGCAGCCAATCTGCTTTCCAAGATCTGTCTTGTTTTCACGACTCCTGCCTGCTTCTGCAGTTAGACCCACAGAAGCAAACCTTTGTGTTTCTGCCAAGCTCTGCTGGCTTTCAGAGGACTCGGCATGGACCCGAGCATCTGCCCACGCGGTACTGAGTCCATAATGCCGAACCTCACCATGCCATACCCCCTCTAGAATACGTCAGCTTGGGAAGTAGGGTGAATTTCCCATTGATTATTTCCCTCCTGCCCTCCACAGTTGAATAAGTTTGTATTCACCCAGCAGGGATATTCCCCCCCTTCCCCAAGTTGCCTTCTGAGTTCTGATTATTGGCTGACAACTGGAGGAGGTGTGGGTGGGAGTTAGAAATAAGATGCTGCAAAGACTCAAACTATGCTTGTAGCTGTCATGGCTGTCAACAGTCGCACTGAAGCACTTGAATAAGGGAGTGCTGGATTTCAAAAATCCATGCCTTGCTACAGGACTTGAAATGATAGAAAACATGCAGAGGCGTCAGCCACTGCTTTCCTCTCCATTGTCAGGGGCACCATAGGATCTCTGTTCTTCGTTCTCGCAAGTCACAGCTGCAGGGCCCAGACGATTCGGCTTTTATGGATAAATGTGAACAGCTTCCGACAAACAAACAATGCTGCACTGAACACTGGGATGAAGGCAGGCAAATGAGATTTGAATCGAGGTGCATCCTCTGGCCTGGCTTTCAATTGGAAAGAGGGGATTTCAAGGTGACCGATTTAAAAGGCTTTTTATGCAGCAGGTTTGGGACCCTGGGGCCCACACCACACTGGAAACTAAATGTCTCACTTGGCCTTGTTTCTTTGTGCCTCCACACATTCCCAACAGATAGCCACAAAGGCATTAGCATGCCATATGAGCACGACTATGAGCACCCAGGCTTATGGAGAGAGAGTGTAAACTATGTGGGCATATCCCTTGAACAGGAGCATTGCCAACCCAAATTCAGACTCGTGGTCCAGCTAGCCCACAGCCTCTCCTGGCCTGTGCCAGGTGCGGAGAAGGAGCAGCAAACTCTGCTCCTGTGTCATTGCAGCAGTGCTTCCTGCACCTCATTTGTTTGACTTGTGCCCTGAGGCACACGTGTGGACATCCTTTCAGCCAAACATGACGTATGGTATCAAGAGAAAATTTATGGGTATGTAAGCAGAAGGTGGACTTTGAAAGACTGAGCGAACAATAAATAATATTATATATAATATTAACATGATAGCATTATAGACTCATAGAAGATGTGTACCTCGGGGGTCACATCTAGTCCAACCCCCTGTTCCAAGCAGGACCAGCCCCAACTGCATCATCCCAGCCACAGCTTTGTCTGCCCAGGCCTTAAAAACCTCCAAGGAATGGAAAGTCCACCACCTCCCTGGGTAACCTCTTCCAGTGCTTTGCTGCTATCCCCATGAAAAAGTTTTTTCCTAATATCTAACCTCAATTTCCCGTGCTGCAGCTTGAGCCCATTGCTCCTTGTCCTGTCATCTGCCCCCACAGAGAACAGTCCAGCTCCATCTTCTTTGCAATCCCCCTGCAGGGAGATGAAGGCTGCTATTCAATCCCCCCCTCAAGCCCCTAAATCCCTCAGCCACTCCTCACAAGTCCTGTCCCCCAGCCCCTGAACCATTTTCATCGCCCTCCACTGGACTCTTTCCAACTTGGCCACATCCTTTCTGTAGTGGGGGGCCAAAAGTGGACACAGGACTCCAGATGTGGCCTCATCAGTGCCAAATAAAGGGGAAGACTCACTTCCCTCCATCTGCTGGCAACGCTCCTCCCAATGCAGCCCCGGATGTCATTAGCCTTCTTTGTAATCATGGTCCCTGTAACTCCAGAACAGATTTCCACCCTGCACTTAATCAATGCAATTGAAACAAGAAAGAGCACACTCCTGTCTCTTCCTCCTCTCTGTTGGGGATGACACTCTTTTGAAAGTATATCTATTTTTTTAATTATAGCCCAAGATCCTTTTGCCTCTCACACTGAAGAGGCTGTAGAGACCTTGACATCTTCTGTGCATTCAGGCTAATTTTTGTCAGCAGAAGAGAGCTCCAGACATAAAAATGGCAAAGTGCTGCTCCATGCAGAGAAGCAGCCTTGGAGACGAGGAGGAAGACTGTGCATCCTGAAAGGGACTTTCTTCTCCCTTTGTTACTGATTCATGATCCTCGTTAACAATAAATGAGCATTATTTCTCCCATCAGGGAGGAGCATGACCTTTCAAACATGGTCACGCAGCCCTTGGCGTGCAGTATGTCTGAGGTTCCTGCTCTGCATCCGGGACTGGAGAAAGGCAAGGATGATTC